GCCCAGACTGGAGTGCAGTGGCCGCTCCCGGCCACCGCAGCCTCGACCCGCTGGGCTCCGGCGATCATTCTGTCTCAGCCTTCCAAGTAGCCGGAATTACAGGCACGTGCTGCCATGCCCAGCTGATTTTTGATTTATTGTAGAGATGAGGTCTTGCCAAGTTGCCCAGGCGGGTCTCAAACCCGCGGGATCAGGCAATTCACTCACCTCAGCCTCCCAAAGCACGGGATTACAGGTTGAGCCACCAAGCACGGCAGTATCTTATATTCTGATTTGGAGGGGGATATTACATGGGTGAGTTAACTTTGTGAAGATTTACTGAGCTGTACACTTATGATATATACTTGTGTATGACAGACTTCATTAAAAAGGTTTGGTGTGGTGGCTCAAGCCTGTAATCACAGCACTTTGGGAGGCCGAGGCAAGAGTATTGCCTGAGTCTAGGGGTTCAAAACCAGCCCAGGCAACTTGATGAGACTTCATTTCTACAATAAATAAATAAATAAATAAATTAGCCGGGTGTGGTGGCATGCACTTGTGGTTCCAGCTACTTGGAAGGCTGAGGTGGAAGGATTGCCTGAGTCCAGCAGGTCAAGGCTGCAGTGACCATGAGCATGCCACTGCACTCCAGCCTGGGCGACAGAGTGAGACTCCAATTCAGAAAAAAAAAAAAAAAGGTTTGCTTAAAAACAAAATCACCACCCTGGGCAAGATAGACTTTATCTCTACAAAAAATAAAAAGACCAGCTGGGCTTGATGGCACATTTCTGTCCTAGCTACTCAGAAGGCTGAGGCAGGAAGACTGCCTGAGCCAAGGAATTCAAGGCTGTGGTGAGCTGTGACTGTGCCAGTACACCTATCCTGGGTGACAGAATGAGACCCTGATCAGAAACAAAAACTAAATCAAAGATGGATGCTATCTAAGTGGTCCATGGTACAAGATAGGAGCTCATTTCTAACTCTTCCTTCCTTCTAGGACAACTAGCACCAAAAAAAGCCACCTTCAAATGAGAATTCTGCCAGAAGCAGCTAAAGTCTCTAGATATAACCAGTTTACAGGGGGAAATAAAAGGGGGCAAAAGGAATACATTAAGTGGCAGCACAAGAACACAGCCAGCAAAATCCAGCACATGTGTGAGATTCTACAGGACAAATGATTCAGTTTCATTAACAAATAAACTGTGAAGAAAAATAAATGGAGAAGGGAGCCTATGAATAGAAATTTAAGAGATGTATTAACCAATTGCAACGTGTAGGTCTTGTTTGGATCCTGATTTAAACACACTGTAAAACAATAACATTTATGAGACTACTTTGGAAATTTGAATGCTGAGAATTTATTGTCAATTTTAGATGTAAAATTGGTATATTTGTTACATCTTTTATTTATTTATTATTTTACTTTATTTTATTTTTTTATTCTTTTCTTTTTTTTTGAGTTGGGGGTCTCACTCTGTCGCCCAAACTGGAGTGCAGTGGCCGCTCCCGGCCACCGCAGCCTCGACCTGCTGGGCTCTGGAAATCCTTCCGCCTCAGCCTGCCAAGTAGCTGGAACTACAGGCGTGCGCTACCACGCCCGGCTGATTTTTTGATTTATTGTAGAGATGAGGTCTCGCCAAGTTGCCCAGGTGGGTCTTGAACCTGCGGGCTCAGGCAATCCACTCACCTCAGCCTCCCAAAGTGCTGGGATTACAGGCTGAGTCACCAAGCCCAGCCATTTTTATTTATTTTTATTTTTGAGTTGGAGTCTCACTCTGTTGCCCAGACTGGAGTGCAGTGGCCGTTCCTGGCGATCCTTCCACCTCAGCTGGGCAACCCACTCACCTCAGGCTCCCAAAGCACGGGATTACAGGCTGACCTACCGAGCCCGGCTTGTTACGTCTTTTTAAAAAGAACCCTTGGCCAGGCACAGTGGCTCACACCTATAATCCCAGCACTCTGGGAGGCCGAGGTGAGAGGATTGTCTGAACCCACAGGTTTGAGACCAGCCTGGGCACTTGTCAAGACCTCATCTCTACAATACATCAAAAAATTAGCTGGGCATGGTGGCACTTGCTTATAGTTCCAGCTACTTGGAAGGCTGAGGCGGAAGGATCACCTAAGCCCAGCAGGTTGAGGCTGTGGTGGCTATGAGCGTGCCACTGCACTCCAGCCTGGGCAACAGAGTGAGACTCCAACTCAAAAAAATTAAAAAAACAAAAAGAACTCTTATAGTTTAGATACATACTGAAATATTTATGGATAAGATGATATAATATCTAGGATATGATTGAAAATAAATGCTAGCCAGGCTCGGTTGCTCAGCCTGTACTCTCGCGCCTTTGGGAGGCTGAGGTGAGTGGACTGCCTGAGCCCGCGGGTTCGAGACCCGCCTGGGCAACTTGGCGAGACCTCATCTCTACAATAAATCAAAAATTAGCTGGGTGCGGTAGCGCGCGCCTATAGTTCCAGCTACTGGGAAGGCTGAGGCGGAAGGATCGCCAGAGCCCAGCAGGTCGAGGCTGCAGTGGCTGGGAGCGGCCACTGCACCCCAGTCTGGCCGACAGAGTGAGACTCTAACTCAAAAAAAGAAAAAAGAAAATAATTGCATATTAAGTTAAGCATTGTTGAAGCTGGGTGATGGTTACATGCAGGTTCATCATAGTCATCTCTCATTTTTAAATTTTATTTGAAAATGTTTCAAAAAAGTTAAAATGTACTGGCCAGGCGTAGTGGCTCAGCCTGTAATCCCAGCACTTTGAAAGGCCAAGGTGAGAGGACTGCCTGAGCCTGGGGCTTTGAGAGCAGCCTGGGCAACTAGGTGAGACCTCATCTCTACAATAAATCATAAAAACTAGCTGGGCGTGGTGGTGTGCATCTGTAGTTACAGCTACTTGAAAGGCTGAGGTGGAAGGATTGCCTAAGCGCAGCAAATTGAGGCTGTGGTGGCCGTGAGTGTGCCACTGCACGCCAGCCTGGGCGATAAGAGTGAAACTCCAACTCAAAAAAAAAAAAGTACTACATGAGAATTTCTAGGATGTGGGTTCCCTGGGTGACATACCACCTCCCAGGAGATATCAGCCTCTAAACCTGCAAAAGGCTTTACAGAGCCCCCTGAAACAGGAGCCATGTTTCCTCTGTTAGGTTCATGTTCAAAGGACAGGAAAACAAACAAATCCCCAGAGCTAAAACAGAAAAAGAACAAGAGGATGAAGGACAGACCCTAAAGATGATGTCCTGGCTGGGCAGTTGTTTCAAGACCTAAGCATTGCTGTGGAGTCAGACATCCTGAGTTCAAGTGCTATCACCTACCAGTTATGTAACCTTGGGCAATTTACTTAACTTCTCTGTGCCTCAGTTTCTTCATCTGTAAAATAGGGATAACAGTATTAATCTCATAACTTGCTTATAAAAATTAAATGTTGGCTGGGTTCGGTGGTTCAGCCTGTAATCCCAGCACTTTGGGAGGCCAAGGCAAGTGGATTGAGTGAGCTTGCGGGTTCAAGACCAGCCCAGGCACCTTGGTAAGACCTTGCCTCTACCATAAATAAATAAAAAAATAAGCCAGGTGTGGTAATGCACACCTATAGTTTCAGCTACTTGGAAGGCTGACGTGGAAGGATCGCCGGAGCCCAGCAGGTTGACGCCACTGGAATGGCCCTGAGAACACTGCACTCCAGCCTGGGCGACAGAGTGAGACTCCAACTCAAAAAAAAAAAAATTACATGGAACAGAATAAGTGCTAAATAAATGTTAGCTGGTATTATTATTGCTTGAGCATCTCGTTAATATGGGGCAAAGTACATGTGGGGTAAAAGAGTAGCATCAGGGAAATGCGGAGTGAGATTTTTATCCTGTAAAGCTTCAGATTGGAAGGGCTCCATTCACTGTCCTGACCATTTGTGGCACACCATCCAACAGAACGGTTCCCACTGCCACTGATGTGACAGTTAATTTTATCTCTGGTCTCCAGGACTGTGCTAAAGGGTGGGGAGCAGAGGGTTTCTCCACATTGCAGCCCCACCAGGACATCCCTTCAGAGAAGAAAGGGACTCACTAGGTGTGTGGACACAAGCAGCCCTCAGTGGGAAGTGGTCTTCCTTGGATAGGACAGGTGGCCCTACCCAGAGGCCTGTCACCAACCTGTGCTGGACACGGTTTCAGAGGGCTGAAAAACGGCAGTGGAGGAGGATGGTGGGGATGCTGTGGAAGAGCTGGCAGACTCCTTTCCTTCTAGCTCAGCCACGGGCAGCAGTAGGTTCTGGGCCAGGTGGGTGGGGCTGGCGGGGATGCCATTCTCCAGCAGGAATTCATCCAGGTCCATGTACTCCAGGTGGAAAGACTCGCCGTCGTACGGGATGGTCTTGTCCCAGATAGGAGGCATGAGGGAGGCAGAGACGGCCATGGTGCTGGCAGCTGCTGCCTCATCCTCCTCCAACTTTTCTTTCCCCTTCTCTTTATCTGCAGACACAAAAGCTGCAATAAGACACTATAAAAGAGGATCACTCAGTCCCAGAAAGCAGGTAGTGAGCCTCACAGTCCTGATTCCATCCCTTGCATTTCAAGAGCCCACTCTACTCTCCAGTTACAACCTGATGCTTGAATCAGGTCCAGGTGGTCTCCTATAGAGACAGCATCACATCTTCATCCATGCCTGGCCTTCCCAGAATGCTCATTATAGACTCTGAGGCCTAATGTGGTCATAGGGTTAATTCAGGATAGGCTGTAGGATTAGCACCTGCGAGAGAGAGACTACAAGGAAGAAAATAGTTTATCTTTCCTGATTTCTTAGTATGGAAAGAGCAAAGATCTTCAGGCCAAGAACTTTTGTGTTCTCCTGTCCTATTCCCTTCAGTTAGGCCTCTGCACAGCCCAACTCAGATATTAATCTCAGCTCTGCCACCCACTTACTGTGTGATGTGTGACCTTTGCCATGTTACTTAACCTCTCTGAGCCTCAGTGTCCTCCACTATACATAAGGATGAAACTGCCTCTTCGGTGAAGATTAGAGATAACATCTGAGAGTGTCTTACAGAATTCCTGGCACACAGTAGGCATTCATTATTACTGTGAGCTCATTGAGGGCAATGACTGTGTCTGATTCACTTCTAGATCTTAGAGAACCACAAAAAGGTAGGCAGAGAGTGGGCTATGGGAAAATGTGTACCCTAAAGTAGACTATTGCAAACAGATTCTCTTCAGGTTTATGAGACAGATAGGACCTAGAGCTGTCTTTTCAGAACCTTTTTCCAAGTAACCATTTCAAGAAACCTTAGTCCCTGAATAAGCAGAAAAGACTGAAGGCAGACTTTCTGGGAGGAAGGCGAGGGGTGGAGCTGAAGAACAAAGACTACTCCTATTCAAAGTAAAACTAATCAATTAGTGGGGACTGGATCCTGTCTAATTGTCTCGGTCCAAGAGTTACACATGGGGATAGCCAAGAGAGGGCAATTAAGAAAAAAAAAAAAAAATACAAGAGAGAACTGTGATGAGGTTGGGAGGAAATCAAAGTGACAGGGAAGCTAATCAGGGAAGTAGGAGATAAAATCAAGACAAATTCATAATGGGCTTTCAAAATTGAGGGAGATAACTTTGAACTTTGGATTTAGAAGTGAAAAAGAAATCAAATACAATTATGTTGAAAATAAACCAGTCACACACGGACTCCTAGACTATAGACAGAAGAAAAGCAGCTTGTTATTTCAATAAAAATGAACACACCCAGTGAGTTAAGAAAGTGGGGTTTTGACAAACAGAACTTGGTCATGGCTTCTAATACAAATTAATTTGAATCCCTGCAACTGCCTTCTGTACCAGGCTACAATTTAAAAACAGTTGGAAGCTGGGCTCAGTGGCTCAGCCTGTAATCCCGCGTCTTTGGAAGGCTGAGGTGAGTGGACTGCCTGAGCCCGCGTGTTCGAGACCCGCCTGGGCAGCTGCAGACCTCATCTCTACAATAAATCAAAATGAGCCAGCTGTGGTAGTGCGTGCCTGTAGTTCCAGCTATTCAGAAGGCGGAGGTGGAAGGATCGCCAGAGCCCAGCAGGTCGAGGCTGCAGTGGCCGGGAGTGGCCACTGCACTCCAGTCTGGGCGACAGAGTGAGACTCCAACTCAAAAATAAATAAATAAATAAATAAATAAAAAGAGTTGGGAAATAAAAAAGTCAAGTCTGGCTGGGCGTGGTGGCTCACGCCTATAATTCCAGCACTTCGGGAGGCCAAAGTGAGAGAATTCCCTGAGCCCACAGGCACTCCAGTCTGGGCGACAGAGTGAGACTCCAACTCAAAAATAAATAAATAAATAAATAAATAAATAAATACAGTTGGGAAATAAAAAAGTCAAGTCTGGCTGGGCGTGGTGGTTCACGCCTATAATCCCAGCACTTTGGGAGGCCAAAGTGAGAGAATTCCCTGAGCCCACAGGTTCGAGACCTGCCTGGGCAACATAGCAAGACCTTGTCTCTACAATAAATGAAAAAAATTAGTTGGGCATGGTGGCATGCACCTGTAGTTCCAGCTTCTTGGAAGGCTGAGGTGAAAGGATCGCCTGAGCCCAGCAGGCTGAGGCTGTGGTGGCTGTGAGCGGGCCACTGCACTTCAGCTTGGGCAATAGTAAGACTCTGACTCAAAAAAAAAGGGAGCCAGGCTTGGTGGCTCAGCCTATAATCCCAGCACTTTGGGAGACCGAGGCGAGTGGACTGCCTGAGCCCACAGGTTTCAGACTAGCCCAGGCAACTTGGCAGGACCCTGTCTCTACAATAAATAAAAAATTAACAGGGCATGGTAGCATGTGCCTACAGTTCTGGCTACTTGGAAGGTTGAGGAACCCAGTAGGTCGATGCTGAGGTGACCGTGAGTGTGCCACTGCACTCCAGCCTGGGTGACAGAGTGAGACTCCACCTCAAAAAAAAAAAAAAAAAGCCCAGTCTTGGTGACCTGGGTGGGCCTCCCTGATTTCCTTCCCTGAGATCTGAACTCCACGTTCTGTTCAGAAATGACCGTGACCCATGTCAGGTGGGGTCATTTGACATCAAAGGAGGCAGGAAAAGGGAGGAGACAGAAAAGCATCCACATTGAAGGAAAAGTAACAGTAAGTTCCAGGTTTTGCTGAGCTTGGTGGCTCAGCCTGTAGTCCCGTGCCTTTGGGAGGCTGAGGTGAGTGGATTGCCTGAGTCCGCGGGTTTGAGACCCGCCTGGGCAACTTGGCGAGACCTCATCTCTACAACAAATAAAAAAATCAGCCGGGTGTGGTAGCACATGCCTGTAATTCCGGCTACTCGGAAGGGTGAGGTGGAAGGATCGCCAGAGCCCAGCAGGCCGAGGCTGCAGTAGCCGGGAGCGGCCACGGCACTCCTGTCTGGGCAATAGAGTGAGACTCCAACTAAAAAAAAAAAAAAAAATTTCCAGGTTTTGCTAGGTGTAAGCCATTAAAGAGATTTCATTTTTTTATTTTTTAATTTTTATTTTAAAGATGGGTACAACTCAAGGTTAGTTATACAAATGGTCATTGTACAGGTAAAGCTTGGGCATCACTTTGGTCCCCACTTCACCTGGTTTGAGATCAGGTACCCTTATTGATTAAGTGTGCCCCCCTGGATATTTTATTTTTTGAGTTGGAGGTCTCACTCTGTCACCCATGCTGGAGTGCAGTGGCATGATCACAGCTCACTGTAGCCTTGACACTCAGAGTCATGGGCTCAGGTGATCCTCCTGTCTCAGCCTACTGAGTAGCTGGGACTACAGGTGTATGCCACCATGACCAGCTGATTTTGTGTGTGTGTGTAGAGACAAGGTCTTGCTACATTGCCCAGGTTGGTTTTGAACTCCTGAGCATAGCAATCCTTCTGCCTTGGCCTCCCAAAGTGGTTAGATTACAGGTGTGAGCCACTGAAGGATTTTTTTTTTTTTTTGAGTTGGAGTCTCACTCTACCACCCAGACTAGAGTGCAGTGGCCACTCCCGGCCACGGCAGCCTTGACCTGCTGGGCTCCGGCGACCCTTCCGCCTCAGCCTTCCAAGTAGCTGGAACTATAGGCGCATGCTACCACGTCCGGCTAATTTTTTATTTTTATTGTAGAGGTGAGGTCTCGCCAACTTGCCCAGGTGGGCCTCGAACCCACGGGCTCAGGCAATCCACTTACCTCGGCCTCCCAAAGCGCTGGGATTACAGGCTGAGCCACTAAGCCTGGGTTTTTTTTTTTTTTTTTTTTGAGTCAAGGTTTCACCATTGCCCAGGGTGGCGTGCATTGGCATGATCATAGCTCAGCCTGGACCTCCTGGGCTCAGGGCATCCCTCTGCCTTAACGTACTAAGTGGTGTATGCTATCATGCCTGGCTAATTTTTTCTTTCTGTCTTTTGGATGCTACATGTGTATGCTATCATGCATACACTATCATGCCTGGCTAATTTTTTCTTTCTGTCTTTTGGATGCTACATGTGTATGCTATCATGCATACACTATCATGCCTGGCTAATTTTTCTTTTTGTAGAGGCGGGGTCTCACTATGTTTCCTAGGCTAGTCTAGAACTCCTGGGTTCAAGCAATCCTCTTGCCTTGGCCTCCCAAAGTGCTGGGATTACAAACATGAGCCATTATGCACGGTCTGAAGGATATTTTAAATGAGTTTTTTGCAAGGTAGAGTTTTGTTTCTGCTTTTTGAGTCCGAGTCTCACTCTGTTGCCCAGGCTGGAGCACAGTGGCTCAATCATGGATCACCAAAGCCTTGACCTCCTGGGCTAAGGTGATCCTTCCACTTCAGCCTCCCAAGTAGCTAGGACTACAGGCATGTGCAACCACACGCAGCTAATTTTTTTTTTGTAGAAAGGAGGTCTCACTATGTTGTCCAACATGGTCTCAACATCCTGGATCTCCCTAATTGCTAAGATTACAGGCATGAGCCATAGCACCTGGCCCAGAGTTTTAAACTGTAAGACACAAAGGACTAGTCCATCTCTCAGGTCATACACCAGTGGTTGGCAGTGTAATACAGTAGAAAGGGCACAAAACTGAGTTATAAGGCCTAGTTATGTGACTTTGAGGAAGTATCCTCACCTCTCTGAGCCTCAATTTTCCTTATCTGGGAAGTGGGAATAATACTCTATAGGACCGGTGTAGAAGTCTAAATGAAATAAGATTAAGTCAGTAGGACACAGTGGCTTAAGCCTGCAATTCCAGCACTTTGGGAGGCAGAGGCGACAGACCAGCCTGAGCAACATGGCGAGACCTCGTCTCTACAATAAATCAAAGAATTAGCCGGGCATGGTGGCACATGCTTGTGGTTTCAGGTACTTGGAAGGCTGAGGTGAAAGGATCGCCTGGACCCAGCAGGTTGAGGCTGTGGTGGCATGTAAGTGTGTCTCTGCACTCCAGCCTGGGCAACAGAGTGAGACTCAGACTCAAAAAAAAGGCAAAAAAAAAGAAATAAGATTATGCCAAAGTGCTTTGTAAGCACTCTGTAGATTTACGGTAGGATAATTATTATGGATGATTACTGTCTGGTAATCTTTTTTTTTGAGCTGGAGTCTCACTTTGTCGCCCAAGCTGGAGTGCAGTGGCATGCTCATGGCCACCACAGCCTCGACCTGCTAGGATCAGGCAATCCTTCTGCCTCAGCCCTCCAAGTAGCTGGAACTACAGGTGTGCACCACCATGTCTGGCTAAATTTTTATTTTTTATTGTAGAGATGAAGTCTTGCCAAGTTGTCCAGGCTGATCTTGAACCCCTGAACTCAGGCAATCCTCTTGCCTCCACCTGCCAAAGTGCTGGGATTACAGGCGTGAGTTAACACGTCCAGCTCCTGTCTGGAAAAATTAAACCAAAAACTGTCAGATGTGTACACGTGTCCCTACAACTTGTCTCAGCCCCAGATCTGAAACAAAGCATCCCCTGAACAACAAAAGGGTTTGTGCACATGAGGTCTCAAAGCAGAAGGAAAGAACCCGGCCTCACCTGATGTGCTAAAGCTATTTATAACTCAACAGTGACAGCCAAAGGGATAGAAGCCTCAAAACACACCCAGGAAAGAAAGAGAAATGGCTTTTTTTTTTTTGAGTTGGAGTCTCACTCAGTCACCCAGACTGGAGTGCAGTGGCCA